TACTCAAGTTTGCAAGTTATCTTATTGCTCTAAATTACTAAAATAAATGTTAAAAACTTTTAAAATACAATTTTTTATCAACTTAACTCTTTTCTTCTCTCTTAATTCCTTTTTCTCTCCATCCTGATTTATTTAAAATTTATTTTTACAAAATTACATTTATACAGCGCCTCTCATGTCGTTTTACTCTGCTCTGTCAATTTTAGCCTTCGCTTAATGAACAATTTTACAAGGCAGAGAAAGTTTTTAAATCTAACTGTTCATTGGCTGAAATCCTTCTTTCAGGCAAATATTAAAGCCAATAAAAAGACACAAGAATGAAGATTTTGGTTCAGATACAGGAGGTAAAAACACAACCTGCAGTGCTAAATTCAATGACAGCTTTCACATAGCAATAATGCTGAAATATAGACTTATGTAGTAAGTATAATATAATAATGATAATCTTTGCATTTTGTATAATATCTTTCATGGCAGGAAGACATCCCAAAGTGCTTAACAGGAAATACTGTAAAGTGCAGTGACTATATGTTTTGTGTTATAGTAATAATGATACTCAAATGTCAAGAGTAACATTATTACTGCAATAAGGATGACTCTTACTCAATGCTAGTAACCTTCAGTTCCTTCAATATGTGTTTATTGCTCCTTGATCTATGTCCCAGTGCTGCTGTATTGTTTAACACATCCACTGCATAACTGAAAAAGGCAAAAAGCAAATTGTTATTTAAAAAGAAATTCACTATTAATGAAGAATAAAGGACATTGAAATGTGCAAAATCTTTCTGAGCTAAAGTTAATAAAGCCATATGAATGCCCAGGAAGCCACTGCAGGTAACAATCTTTGCTTTCAAAAACTACATTTGATGATAATTACTTTTGAAGTCTTTTAATATGCCTTGGAATCATAAAAATGTAAATTATTTTTATTTTACTGATGTATTCTGGATTGCCCTCTTTCATGGCAAAATAATGAATAATTGTGTTCAGTTCATGGAAACTACACAATTGGAAATGGTTTGGTAGATTGACCTTCTGTGCTTGGATTACATGTGAGTTCTTATGAAAGTAGTAAAAAGTTAACAGGGCAGTAGAAAATTGCAATTGCTATTTGACTTAACCTAACTAAACCTAACTAATTACTGTATTTAGTTAGTTTTATTAAACCTCAGATAATGTCCCATCAACCAAATAACCGTTTTAACGTTCTATGTTTCATTTATTCCCTGTTTATTCCACCTTTGACCTGACAATAAAGTGCAAGTAAAGCACCAGAGTCCTGTAGCTCAGTGGTTAGAGCACTCGCTTTGCAAGCAAGAGACTTGAGTTCAATTCCAGGCACAGGGCGAAACCTTGGGCAAGTTTCCTTACTCCACACAGAGCCTAATAATAATCCCTCCTAAACCAAAAACAATAATAAAATTGGTCATTTTCAATCCACGACTGTTTGTGGGACATTGCTGTGCGCAATTGGCTGCCGCGTTCGCCCACAAATATACAGTCAATTCACTTTACAGTGTGTTCTGTGCAGCGCTTTGGGACGTCCTCCCGACGTGAAAAGCGCTATAGCAAATGCAAGGATTATTATTATTATTATTATCTTGCATGCTCTTCCCACTCCCTATCTTCCTCCCTGCATCTACAACAACAACAACAACAACTTGGATTTATATAGCGCCCTCCATGCCGGACGGCGTCTCAGAGCGCTTCACAGTAACGGATCCTGGGGCCGAGCCAGGGGGAGGGGGAGGAAGGTGACAAAAGGAGCGCATCTTCATCGTATTCAAATCAAAATTTATTTTACCGTTTTCAGTGCTGACTCATTCTTTCCCAGAACCTCGAGATTACGGCGACCCTTTACTCCCACTGCTCAAATCTTCTCTTCCTCCTCCAAATCAAGTTTAGCATTGCCAACCCACCACTTTCTCAGGTCCTCCTTCCTACTCCATCCAAGCTAAGCCGTGACCTACGCTTAAGGGTCATGGCTCTCTGTTTATGATTCTCCACACAAAAACGCAATGTAAATGTTATTGTGATCCAGTGTAAATTCAATAATACATTTTAGTGGCATTTCTATTATACTTAGAAATTCCAGTCTCGTCAAATGACTGAAAGGTTAGATTCCAGTGCACACTTGTTATGGATCCCTGTTGCTGCAGTTAATTTCTCATATCGATTGTTGCTTTAAACTGGAGACAGGCTTGTGAATGTTAATAAGCTGTGTATGTGCACAGCGCAGGCACTGAGATGACTCCGTGGAGATTTGCTGCGGATACTGTAAACGGGGAATTTTTTCCAGGAAATTTAAATTCCCAGGGACCCGGTCTCGTGCCAATATATTAAAAATAACATATCCGTGAAAGTTTTCTGATTTGAAAGCACCCACCAATGCTGCCACACCCATGCTATTGACAACAAAGCCCTCTGTACATGTAACTTTCCCGTCACTGCTGTTGATACACTTTACAACTTTTCCTTGTTGTTAACTTAGTAACTCTAGCTCTGAACTGGTGTTAATCACTATCCTTTTCTATATGCCTTCACGGTTGTGTAAACTTGGACAAGTTGCCCTGTAATGGTCTTTACCAAGGCTTTAATAAGGTAATTTGGATTTCTTCCTGTTTAGTTCAGGATAGTTATTGCAGTTACTGAGGAGAAGGATTGATGATGTTTCAATGACTTTTCCATTAGAGACATTCCAACATGATGAACCCATTTTTTATGTACTTTATTTATGTTGCTAAAATTTATGATATAGGAATTTTGGGGCACATGAGATCTCAAATTTGTCACAGTCGTATCTTTAAGCCAATTGTCTTAAATTTCAAGTTATACCTAATTTTGGAAAATTCACTCTTAAATTACACGATGATTCTTGAGTTCTTAACTGCAGAAATCTGAATTCTAAATTAAAAATGAATTTGAGAATTTTGTAGGATCATAAATTTGAAGAGAATCTTCTTAAAGCTTAAGATTATGCACAATTTAAAAATATTTACATTTGATATAGGACCTTGCACATCAGGAGGGCATCTCAAAGCAATTCACAGTTTTCACTGTAAAGTGTAGTGACTGGGTATTTCAAGTCCCTGATATTGTTATAAGTGTATTTGACAGTTCAGGATTCTTCCCTGTTTTTCTCTGATTTACAAATCAAAGCACTGCAAAGTTCAGCTGGGACTTATAACCACAGTGAAAGGTGCAAACAAAATATTACTCTTTGAGAGTCAACATCTGAACTGACAGTAATATTAAACAGGATATGTATACTATATAATCAGAAGTAATAAATACAAGCGAACAAATTCAAGACTGGAATCTAATTTCAACTCTCTGATGACCTGCTGTAGTTTATGATGCAACCTGAACAGATAAGATTACTGGTCTGCATTGACTCCCAAGTATTAAGTGTTCTCCATGCACTAGCTCGACTTACTGAGCTAGTGCATGGAGAACACTTAATTAACATGCAATCTCTATTAACTGTGTGAGTACTGAAAGAGGTTAATCGAGTAAACTCATTTGCCTAGTTACCAAACATTGTCTGCAAAATATGAATGCAGCCTTTAAAATGGAAATAGGCTCAGAGACTGAGTACAACATTAAAATATTGGATATAGAAGATGGCAGAGAGGAGAGAGTGAGTGTAAAAGATGTGAGAAAGTGAGTGTGTGGGGTCGGTGGAAAACAGAGAGTATGAAAGGTGTGGAAAAGTTAGGGGTGGGGGGAGCAGAGAGCGGGGAGGGGGGGTGTATGAAAGGTGTGAAAAGGGGTAAGAGGAATGGAGAAAGTGAGTCCTCCTCCCTATTGCCCATCCTGGGATGGACCACTTCTCACTAGAAACAGCAAGTGAGAAACAGTGTGAAAGAGCCTGAGAGGAAAAGATTCACAGAGAATGACTACTGAAAGAGAGACAGATAGCGACCCAGAACAATCCCACAGGGAGACTAGCTATACATATACGGGGGACAGAGACAAGAAATGAGGGATAGAAAGGCAGCAAGAGATGGAGGGAAATTAATGAGTGGAATGGATCACCAGGAGGTGTGGGTAAAGCCAGGACATGGGACTCATTTAAGAGCTTGAAATTTGAAACTGCAATGGGAGCACTATAGCTTCCCAATTCTACGCCCATAACCTCTAGAACTCCTTTCCTCAACCCCGCTGTCTTGCTCCCTTACTTTATCTGTCTTAATAACCTGCGTCAAAACCTATTTCTTCTTTGATAGTCACTTCCTTCCCCCTTCCCCCTCTCCCCTTTTCAGTGTCTGCCCCACCATTGTAAAGTTCCTCAAGATGTTATTCTATGTGAAGGATGCAATATAAGTGCAAGTTGTTGTTAATAGGGTGGGTATTCCAGAAGGATGAGATCAAATGGGCCAAAGGGAGTTGTTCATCTGAATCTCTCTTGTGATTTTATTTATGAATAGGGAGATGAGCTGGTGTTCATTTTCCACAGGCTGGCATAAGATACTTTTATGTTTTGAAACTGGGAAATGTTATCGTGTCACACAGTAATTGGGCATTATATGTTTCGTTTGACTCACAGCAGACAGATATAAAACTTCAGGCACATACCACTTAAATATATATCACTTGCTATTCCTGTGTTGCAATTGCATTGTGTCCTGCAATAATATATTGAATCAAAATTGCAAATTGTACAAATCAAACTCAATAGATCTCTAATTTTTTTTCTAATTCAATATAATCATCAATGCAAATGAATGCAGAATGTTACAATTGCAAATCTTAGTTTATTAATGAAATCTGGTTCTGTAGATTTGTATTTGTACAATTAAAATAGAAAAAAAATCCCTTTAAGGATGGCTTGCTGAAAAGTCATATTTTGGGTTTGTTTATTGTATTTTTTATTGCTTGTTTACATTTTTTTCTTCAGATAAAATGTCTGTAGGCTTGTGGCTGAGTTAATAATACTCAGTAAAAATAAATCTTTTTACCACTTACATCAGAGTGATTTTTCAAAATGTTCTTTCCAGGTGTGAAATACACTCGGGGACTGGGAGCAGCATTGTATTATTAGATACAGAAGACAACGGCAACATCAGTAGCAACAACAGGGGCAATGTGAGTGGAAACAGAATTTCCAGCATCAACGAAAGAGCCAAATTAGTAGAAGGAAAATATAAGGTACTTTTTTCTTTTTCTTTGAACAGCTGGGTGTGAGACACACTCGGAAACTCATCACCATGCTTAAGAGTATCTAAACCAAACTGAGAATTACATGCATCCCCACCTACACACAGAAATTCCAGAAGTAGATTGTCGGAATGGAATGCACACTCTCTCCCTGGAGGGACACATCCTGCTTTCCTACTTCCAGACAGTATGAGACGCAGACAGAATTTTTAAAGATTCACTAATATTCTGAAACTACTGTATATTGAAAAACTGTCATTTGACGTATTTTGCAAACTTGATAAATAATTTGCCTTTATTTGGAGATGAAAATGTTGGTGCAGCGTGAACTGTCTAATCTTTCACCTCTGAGACCAGGGCTTGAATCCAGCCCACACTGATGGGTTTATATGTTTCTCTCTCTGAAGACTCCAAGGTTCTTGTGTAATTGAGTCTGAATTGTCTTATCCCAATTCTATAGCACAGACTGACAGAGCAGATCTGTCGTTAATTTGGCACCAACTTGGCAATCCCACTCAAAGGGTGATATGGTTCCTGGTGTGGAAAATAAAAAAACACAGTGCTCATTGAACGTTGAGCTCAAACCACAATTTTCCACTACATTCCATCAAGATTTAAAGAGGTATGAATAATGAGGGGTTGGAGACGGAATCCATCTGGCTAGAGATAAAGGATAAAAAAGGATTAACCACACTATTGGGGATGTGCTACAGGCCAACCAACAGTGGAAAAGACATAGAAGAAGCAACATGTAGGCAGATAAGGGAGATGAGGAAAAATAATTATGGGAATTTCAATTATCCTCAGATAAATTGGCAGAGAGAGAGAGTAGGAGGCGAGAAGCGGATGCAGTTTTTGCAATGTGTGAAGGACTCTTTTCTGTCCCAATATGTAGAAACTCCAACAAGAGGAGAAGCGTTGCTTGATCTGGTTATGAGCAATGAACCAAAGCTGGTCAGTGATTTAAATGTAGAGCCCATAATATAATGAGGTTCAAAATGATTATAGAAAAGAAGATAGGCAAGACAAGGACCAAGGTCCTTGGTTGGAAAAATGCTAATTATAATGGTATGAGGAATGAACTAGCTGAGGAACGCTGAAGGGAAAAATTGGCAAACAAAGATCCTGATCAACAATGGAGGATGTTTACGCACAAGATAGAAAAGGTACAGGAGAAATATATTCCAATAAGAGACAAAAGGAGAATTAACTAATAATGGGATGTCATGGATGAATACACAAGTGAAGCACAAAACTGTAGCTAAGGGAGAAAGGATTTGAAAAGTACAGAATAGATAATGGAGAGGAAAACAGGAGTGAATACAGCAAATATATGAAAGAAGTTAAAAAGATGATTAGGAAGGAAAACAGCAAAAAAAAAGTGTTGTATAGATATGCCAGAAATAATAAAATGGTTAAAGTAGGAATAGGATCATTAAGGGGAGAAGTGGATAAGGTCACAGCAGATTATATGGAAATAGTGGGAATACTAAATTAATATTTTGGCTCTAGGAAACTCATAGGAAAATTTAGTAATCCAGAAGGTACACAGTTTAAATCCTAATTGTTAAGATAGGGAGAAGGGTGATATCAAATAAATTACACAGTGTTAAAGAGCACAAGGCATCTGGCCCAGATGGACTGCATCCAAGGATCCTTAGGGAAATTAGGAAGGAGGTAGCTGAGACTCTAGTATATATGTTTAAGAACTCTGCAGAGAAATGAATCGTGTCAGTGGACTGGAGGATGGCCAATGTAATACCTATTTTTTAAAAAGCATGATACAGTTAATCCAGGAAAGTTCAGGCCAGTCAATTTATCTTCAGTTGTGAGCAAGGTATTAGCATCTATAATAAAAAATGAATAACTAGTCATCTGGAGAAGGAGAAAAAAATTAAGAACAGCCAACATGGATTTCCAAAAGGAAGATCATGATTAAAAATTTAAATTCTTCAAAGATTTAACGGATAAAATAGACGAGGGAAATGCAGTGGATGTAGTGTATCTGGATTTCCAGAAGGCCCTATGTTAGTCATTAGCCTCTCATAAAGTGCCACACGGAGGGTTCATGACTAAAATAGAGGCATGTGGAGAGGTAACGGAATGGATTAAACAATGGTTAGGAAATGAAAAGCAAAGAGTTCCGCAGAAATCTATGTTACTATGGCCTCTGTTCACCATAAACATAAATGATTTGGATTCAGGTATAGAAGATGTGGTATAGTGCCGTTAATGTGGGGTAGTTTCCTGGAGTGCTTGGTAAACAATGAATTGTGCAGAGGAGATAAATATGAATAACGAATAGTTTATTAAGCAGCCACACAAAATAAGAATTTGGGTCAGGGTTGATAACCTGTGACTTCTTATGCCTAATGTATATGGGATAGCCGAAAAAACATAGAAAACATATTATTACACCACTGACATGTTTACTAGTATCCAAATCTGGAAGTCTCACCCCTAAAAGTCTGCGGATGCTGGATCCATTAAAATTTTCAAGAATGAGGTGGATAGATTTTTGGTAGGTAAGGCTATCAAGGATACAGGGTAAAGGCGGATAATTGGAGTTGAGGTACAGATCAGCCATGTTCTAATAGAATTGCGGAACAGGCTTGAGGGGATGAATAGCCTGCTCCTGTTCCTGTGTTCCTATATTCCATAGAGAATGACGTGGTTGGAGGACTTTTAGCTGCCACAATGCAAAATATTTTGAAATGTTCTTATTAGTAGATAGTTACTGCTCACACAGAACATGTTGAACCAAATCCCTGAACTGGGGATTGGTAGATGAAAGGGTTATTCAAAATGACTACAATGAGGAGAATGTAACTGATGTCCTCCTTAACCTGACCCCTCATATCTAAAGACTTTCATAGAGAGGTCAAAGGAAGGTAGAGGAAATGAACATTAGTAAAATTGCAGTGATGGACCTAATGTTGTAGCAACATCCACATAAACCACTTTATAGTTCAAGAGAGATGAACAAAGCAATTAACAGATTTGAGAGATAGCACTGCTGGTAAATTATTAGATTCTATTGAAAAAAGCTCCATCACAACTAAGGTTTCTATACCCCACGTCCCAAAGGTTGTGCATTCTGTTAAGGGATACAGTATCATGTGTTTTAAAGTATGGCTTATTCAGTTACTAAACGTTCCAGTGCCCTGTCATTGTAAATCATAATGCAACACTCTTAAGGTTCAAGGTCTGGAACTGCCTGTCACTCAAACTTATACACGACAGACGGAATTAATTTTATCAGCTCTTAGTTGTTTGGCTTGAAGGAGGTGAAACACAGACACTTAGGCGGTGACTGTGTGGTACTCCTTGACCTGGATCATCCCAATTCTCCCTCGCAGGGAGGTCATGCCGATATGAAAGGTCTCATAGGAAGAGTTAGAGGGTAATAAACCAATGGAAAATACATGCATATTAATATGTATTGTAGAATTATTCCGTTATTGTCAAGTTATTAGCATCATGTTAATCATAATCTTAATTAAAACACAAAATCATAAAATCATTATCCTTGAATTTGATACAGCCCCTTATCATGTCATCGATGTGTTCTCAAAGTGCTTCACATGATATACTAGATTTTTTTACTATTAAGTAAAATTTCATTTGAGTATTTTAAATGGATCCACAATAATAAAAAATAATAATAATGATCATTGCATTTGATATAGCCACTAAAGATTATTATTATTATATTATAACACTCGCCCAAATAAAATTGGTCAGTCATTTCATGGCTGTTTGTGAGGCATTGCTGTATGCAAATGACTGTCGAAATTGACTACAAAATACAATCATTACATTTTACAGTAAATCCTGTGAAGCTCTTTCAGAAGTCATCCCAATGTGAAAGGTGCTATATCAAATGGAAGGATTATTATTTTATGTAGGTGAAAAGCAGCCAATTTGACCACAACAATGTTATACAATAACATAAAAAACCATCCACTGAAGTTTAGATAAATTATTTCTTGATCCAGGGATTGTATAACATTTCAGAGAATCAATAATTGTAAATGGAAACCTTGAACCTAATTGAACATGATATTGGGCAAATTAGTTATGCAACAGGATTTAATGATTCATTGTCACCAGCAAATCACCACTTAGCACGACATAAACCATATGAGGCTACACATTCATGGACATAGACAGAACAATAAAATAATTAAATAGCTCCAGAGGGAACTCTTTTTTCCTGTTATTCTACCAATATCATTGTTTCGAATGAAATATTTTCAAAGGGTTGAAACGTTACAGTAATCGCAATTATGTCAATGAATAACTGGCATAGTTGAGTAATCGTACCTGTCACACCAACACAAAAGGAAATGTTCCATTCTTTGAGGAGACAAATAGGATGTTCATCATTGTTTCATCATTACTTCTCCTTTCAGACTTTTAGCACCTTGGTGGTGGCTGAATCGAATGTGTCTGGGGTTTATCATTGTGTGGCTTCAAACAAAGTTGGGAGAGATGAAAGGAACATTAGCTTTTATATCACAGGTAAGAGAGAGAAACCAGATGTAAAGTTGGAATTAATTGCATTTTCTGAATATTTTGGAACAATTTTTCTGGACCACATGTATTTTTTAGTCATAATATAACTAAGCAAAGCATCATTTCTTTCTCCAATTCTCCAAAAAAGTGCCAATTATTTAACTCAAATTTTAACATCTATTTTTATTCTTTTGTATGAATTTGCATCCTTTTGTGAACGTAAATGTAGGATATCCTTGTCTGCGTCATAAACATTTGTGGGTTTGGTATATCTTCACCCACAAAATACACAGGTGACGAGGTGTGATATTGGATGCAAGGATTATTATTATTATAACACAGTGGTCTGGATCTATCATTTCAGACCCCTGCATAAAACATTTTAAATCAGTACTTACACATACATCTCCTTATGTTGCATCACCAAAACAACAACTTGGATTCATATAGCGCTCTTCAGGCAGGGTCTGGCCCTAAGCCAGGGGGAGAGGGAGGGAGAAGGTAACAGTAAGCATGATCGAAAAAGGTCTTTAGGTGGGATTTGAAGTGGAGAAGGAGGGGGCAAGGCAGAGGGATTGAGGGAGAGAATTCCTCAGTTTCGGGGCGTAGTGGCTGAAGGCCCAGCCACCGATGGTGGAGCGGAGGGGACAAGGTACAAACAGGAGGCCGAAGCCGGCTGAGCAGAGGCAGCAGGTGGTGGAGTCTGAGGAAAAGCCCGGGGAGGTTGAGGAGTTCAGCACAGGAGAGAAGACATTGACGGGAGCCAGAGTATGGCTTCCAGTTTGTCAACATTCAGCTGCAGGAAATTTGCACTCATCCAAACCTTGATAATAATAATAATAATAATCCTTGCATTTGATATAGCGCTTTTCACGTCTTCTAGATGTTCCAAAACGCTTCACAGAATATACTGTAAAGTGAATTGACTGTATATTTGTGGGCGAACGCAGCAACCAATTGCGCACAGCTGTGTCCCATAAACAGTCATGGATTGAAAATGACCAATTTATTATTGTTTTATTTTTTGGAGGGATTATTATTTGGCATGTGGAGTAAGGAAACTTGCCCAAGGTTTTGCCCTGCCTGGAATTGAACTCAGGTTTCTCACTTGCAAAGTGAGTGCTCTAACCACTGAACAAGCTGACAGAACATCAGCAGACTGGGAGACGCAGCTGGAGGAGGAGAAGTAGATTTGGGTGTCATCTGCATACATGTGGAAGTTGACCCCATGTTTGCGGACGACATTGCCAAGAGGGAGCACGTAGATAACAACAACTGCTAATTATATTTGTATAGTGCCTAGGAAAAGAAGGAGGCCAAGGAACCCCGCAGGTGACCAGGTGAGAGTGGGAGGAAAAAGCATTTGCCAAGGTATATTGTTGGCAGTTTGTTAAGTATGTGAACCATGCGAGTGCGGTCCCACTAAAGTGGATGAGGGAGGAGAGACAATAGAGGAGGAAGACGTGATCGACTGTGTCTAATGCAGTGGAGTGGTCCAGGAGAATGCGGAAGCAGAGGGAGCCCTGGTCGGAGTGAGGGAGGATGTCATTTGTTGCTTTGATCAGCGCACTCTCTATGCTATGGGCAAGGCGAAAACCAGACTGGAGGGGTTCGAGTAGGCAGTGGAGAGAGAGATGTGACTGAAGTTGATTTGCAACGATGCATTCCAAAACTTTGTCCAGGAGTTGAGTAACCAAAACCCTACTAGCCCTACCAATCTCCCATATAATAGTTCCAAACAGGAGGGGAAACTCCCAAATGATTACACTCACTATCATGCGGTCATGAGATCAATAAGGCTTGATTACACATGGGGCCACAGGCGAGCTAATCCTAACCGCAAAATGTTATGACCATTTATATCAATGAAGACAACATAAAGGTAAAACATTAGCAGATTGATATATTTTGAATACATAAATACCATTCATTGTATGTATGAAGAGCATGAAAATCTGAAAGTTATTATAGAGATGTAAACATATTGGCAATTTAACAGTACATAAAAAATAAAGTCAATGACACTATTTATACTTTCAGCCTCTGTCAAAAAGGCTGAGATGTAAGTTGTACCATCATCAATAGTGCCTGAGGCCATTCCATCTGCAGCCTGCTCCTGTCAAAGGAGGAATAATAACAAAAATAATTTGCATTTATATAGTGCCCTTCATGCGTCTCGGAGTGCTTACATTGGTGCCGTTGTTGAAAGTGCCCATCTGTCTCTGGTAAAAAGACTCTGGGAAATGTGCTATTGTTTCGAGCGCTAGGTGATGCCAAAGGAGTAATTGAGGAGAAGACTTAGAATTGCAAGTGCCATGATGGGGGATTATGGGATCTGCAAAAGTGAGGTGGTTTCATGGGGGAAAGTTGATACCTGTAAAACCTGAATTTTGATCAGCGGGAATACGAAGAGATCAAGAAATACGATTTGGGAATCTTGTTGTTCAGACTTTTTGAAGCAAAATGGGATGAGATTTTTCTCAAGTTCCAGAAACCTGTTTCCCAAATAAACCACCAGCTCAGGTAAGAAAAGGAACTGAATAAAATCAACATCTGTGTAAGTTCCTCCTCATTTCTTGTTGCGTGGTGGAAAATTCCTAGAGAAATCAGTGCAAATGATAGACAAAGGATTCAGTCATGCTCTCTTATTAATAATAATAATATTCCTTGCATTTGATATACCACCTTATCACGTCTTTGAGACGTCTCAAAGGGCTTCACGGAATATATTGTAAAGTGAATTGACCTCATATTTTGTGGCGAAATGCGGCAGCCAATTGTGCATAGCAGTGTCCCACAAACAGTCCTGGATTGAGTGATCATTTTATTATTTGTTTTTAAGGAATTCTTACCCTCGGAAAAACAATCTGCCAATTGACTAACAATCGGGTTCCTACTTACTGCTAAGTAAACAGAGGAGTATAGAGTATTACCATATTAGAAGAGAACAGATCAGCAAAAACTACCACGAAGAAACATGGATCTAAGTCAATGAGACTCCTTCATTTTTTTTCTTAAGTTTAGGTCACTTTGGCCTCTCTATTTTCTTGACCAAGATGAGATCCCTTTATACGTGCTATTCTCCTTGATGAGGAGCACTCGACAGTCCATCCTGTGAGCATCTGATACTATCAATGTTGCTGCTTGATCGACTGCCCAGGAGGCATGTTGGAATGATGTCGGAAGGGACTCCTCCCTGTCAGTTTTCCCTTCCTCCCTCAGATGAATTAGCCAAGAGTGGAAACTGCTCCCAACAGGAAGCCCAAGTGCAAACGTCAATTGAAACTGGAGTACAAACTCGGCTTTCCAGTTGAAAGTCCAATGTTCTGGTGCTATAGCTATTAAGAATCTCCTGTTACTTTAATAACACTGTCAATTTGGGAGCACTGACCAAAGAGGTTATCTATCAGAACACACAAGACCTAATAAAATCATTAATTTCCTTCTGACTTATCTAATATACAAATAATCCTACATAATTCTATCCCTAGCCATCAATTGATTTCTTTGCCAAGTAGCAATCTAATTCCCTCTTGGATTTGTTGACAAAATTTATCTTGTGGGTAGTCCTTTCCATATATTCACCACTCTGTACAGAGTGATTAAATCTAAAGTGTTCACCGCTTCAGAACTTGAACCTGTGTCCCCTCGTTGTAGTTTGTGGCTCTCTTAAACATCTTCTTAGGTTTCAGTTTATCTAGGCTCTTCAAGATTTGGAGTGTTTCAATAAGATCACCTTATTGGTAATTGTAAAAAGCTCCTTGTTGTGTCACTTGCATTCTTTTTTAAGAAATACCATTAAGAAATGCCACAAATTAGACCCAATATTTTTTGGATGTTAGGCCTTCATTATGGATGAAGTTATAACCCACTCCAGCTATGCCAAATGGTACTTGTGATGGGAAGGAAGGAGGTTAAAGACTGTTGACTACTCAAGAGACACAATGAATAGGAAGGAAGGGTGCCATTTAAATGCAAGGACAACATCTAGAAACCGTTTGTTTGTGATAAGTGATTAGCAACCAGTCTTGTTTGCTTAAATAACAGTAATATTAAATAATTGGTTGATTTAAAATGCATAATCGGTAAAGTACACTACCATCAACAATCAGATTCCCACTACCTGTTGTAAAACTCTAACCTTGCAATATTAAAGCAAGTTCAAATAAGACAAGAACAGGTTGTTTGGAAAAGGCTAGGCTATAATGCAAAACATGAATTGTTTGATTTAGGGATTAGTAAAATATGTAGATTGGTATGTGTGTTTATATTGTACTTCATTTAGTTATTTGGGTTCTTGATATAAGGTTAATCACCATTATATTTCATGACGGATGGACCAATAGAACTCAGCAGCAACTGATTGTCCATAGCTTAGTAGACCCAAGTTTCATTTGCACACAACCTCAATTTATGGAATCTTGTTTAGATGGTTTCACCTGACCGTGATTGTATTTTGTCTTTCTCCCTCCCACATAACAATCTGATACAACACTGGTCTCTTGGCATGGGATTGAGGGAAGAATTACATTTTTATATAGCGTCTTTTTAATGCATTTTATTATTATCATTGAAGCATCTGAATTTCAATATACATTCATCAAATACTGAACTGCAAATTTACTCTCTATATGTAGCATTTTAGAGCACCCTGAATTTGACAAATTCTTAAATTCAGTCTCAACTTTGAAGCAGTTTTCTTTTAAAAGAAAATCAGAAAACATATTTCAACAACAATAACAATTTACATTTGTATAGGGCCACTCCTATCAGGATGACATCTCAAAGTGTTTCTTTCACAGCTGCTTTCAAAAGAACATACAACAAATCTGCATCAAGATTAAGGGTGCATTTAATTACTCGCCAAATTCTGGATGCTTTAAAAATGCTACATAAAGAGAGCAAATCTTAACCCAGGTGGAATTCTCTCCAATATAAGATCAAATCCCTGATGTGGGAAACCACTACACATCTGTCTAATACAGAGGCATTATTTTAAAGGAGTG